CACGGATTCATTGCTTCTCTCTCGTTATCTCTCTCTCTCTGTCTCTCTCGTTATAGTGCTAATTCTTTCACACACAATTCTCCTTCGTGCATGCGAATATGTTTTTGTAAATATACACGAACCAGTAATAATCACAAGAATACATTCTTCTGGCTTGCTCGACTAGTTACGCGTACTTTCGCAGTCATCTGAGCAACCATATAAGCCACGCCACATACGAGGCACAACAAAGGAACCCAAGAATCCTTGGTAAAGCTTGGTATTCGTAGAAATCTCGGTATGGTATATTCCACTGGCCGTTTCCTCACAACTACACTCGACAATTGCTTTCGAATGTTGCAAGAACATTCTTGCATCCACGCGCACACATCTTCCATCCATAACGAGTCACTCACTCCATTCGCAACTTCCCCTGTTGCAACACCACCCTACTATCGAACACCACTGCTGGTGCCAGAAACAGAAATCGGAAGGAGGCGTTGGCATTTCAAATAGAGCTACTGCGCAGTCATTCATTTCTTCCGGCAGACGAATTTTGTTCACTCGCACGAAAGACGGACGCATTTTTTCGCCACTTCGCTTTACGAAGAGAGAAAACGCCACTGCAAACACCGAGACACGCGGTGCACACACACACACACACACACACACACACGCACACGCACACGCACACGCACACACACACACACACACACACACACTCACACACAAACCCACAGTGCTTCCTTTTATATAGGCACGCTTGTATCTCATGGCCCCACACTAGCGGCACGGCTTTGCCATAATCACTGCAGCCAACCTCTAGATGCAACGGGTTAACCGCCCGACCCCCGCTATCGCTGCCTTCTGGGCGTTCGACCTCCTTTCTTGACCTTCATGCTGGCTAGAACCTGAGCCTGTTTCTTGATGGCTGCTCTAGTGAGCACTTCCACTTCTTCCCCGCTGTCATCGTCATCTGCGAGCGACATATGCCAAAACAGTGACCACGGGAACGAGTCATGCGTCTCAGAAGTCGCTCGGTAAAAACTCGCCATATCGTTAAAACCGCAGCTTGAAATGTTTTAAAGTTTCAAATCTTTATTTTTTTGGGGTTTTCTACGTGAAATTATTTTAGAATATGATTTTCAAAACTTGAATCTCATGAGCCAGCATGATCGTCATGTTGTGAACAAGTAAATTTCAATAAATGTTATGTCCAGCTTGATTTATTCTCTCCACTTTTAATTTTTATGATTTAACGATTTAATAAAACCATCACTGCACATAATTAGATCCATAAGCACACTGTACGACACTTAAGGGATAAGTATAATTCATGTAATCTACAAACTTCACTCTTTATTGCCAAAGTTCGATTGAATTTTACAGCCTCATTAAAAAATTTAAATTAATTTAATTATCATTACCGTTGAAGGCGGTGCTTGGCACAGCAGTGAGAAGTTTGGCGCGGCTCACAGAATGCGGAACGCTGGATTCTAAGGTCTTCACGAGTTCTTCCTGCATCTCTCTCTCTCCCATCGCCTGCTCCTCTCCCTCACTGATGTCAACTACGCGACACGTTCAAAAGGAAGTCGGATATAAGTGCAAATCCCGGCACGGTCTCAGGGGCAGAAGGCAGAAAGGTTCGATATGATACTACTAGGCACTTTAAGTTGATTTAATTTTTTTTTTTTTAGGGTTAGGGTTAGGGTTACGTTTTTTTTTTTAAGTGCCTAGTAGTCATATCTTAAGTGCCTAGTAGTCATATCATATCGCACCTATCTGCCGGGTGCTCTCAGGGTATAGCAGTGCGTGGCATACAGACCGCATTTCAAACATTGCGCGAAGCGATTTTTTAGCGCGTGTATTAAATATTACGAACATATATTTGCATTGTATTTGTACATATGTTCAAAAGGCAGTCGGACACGAGTGCAAACGCCAGCACGGTCTCAATGTACGGCAGCGCGTGGCATACTGACTGCATTTCATACGTTGCGCGAAACGATTTTTTTAGCGCGTCTATTAAAAATTCCAAACCGATATCTTGTATTCGAAAAGTCGAATACATATTATACTCCTCTTGCCCCCAATACGAATCTGTGATTTTGTCCACGACACGCGCAAATGACCAACGGCGTGCGACGAATCACCACTAGACTCAAACAACATTGACTCACACACAATCACAACCCAAGACTCACGCACAATCACAACCCCCACGACTAATCGCCCGACACTGACACAAAACTCGAGGAAACTCGACGCGAGTCGCAGCAGAAGGAAGGCGGGGACTTACCGAGAACACGGGCGAGTTTATCGCGACAAGATCCGAGCAGCTGCACGGGGTAATCGACCGAGCAGCGATCCAACTTCTCCTCCGCATCTTCCGGCTGCCGGTAGAAATAAAACATGCGGCGTAATCCGAAGCTGTTAATTCCGCTATTGAATGCAATCGACTACTGCAAGAGTGGCTCAGTGTTACTCGAATAGCACACAAGTCATTATATGTGCGTGCATATACGGGGTGCGAATAGAGGCAGTACGCACGAGCGCGATTTAGCGATGGAAAACTCGCGCGGGTGAATGCGAATTCAATACTAACCGATTCTACGAGTTGCAGTTTTTCCGTTAGGTTTTCGATTCCGGATTTGATTGCGACGAATAGGATGAGAGCTTCCTCTGTCTGTCGTACTGTCTTGTCACGTCGCGCTATCTCCGCGCTTAGATGCTCTCTGAACTCTGTCGTTATTCTGTCTCCACTGGTTAAAATTTATCCGTAAGCCGATAGCAATGAGAAAACAGAGTATACGAGTACATGATGAGACAACAGACCAAAAAGCAGATGCGAGACTTCTTTCCCGCAAGCTGTTAATGGTCGCTCGCTAAGCTGTCGGTGCGATTCCACGTAACACATAGTCGTTTATTTGAAGTTTTGCTTCAAACCAAGGACAAGCGGAAACCCTTCGGTAATATGATACGGTATAGATCATGCCAACTCGAGAGTCCAGCTTTCCTTACTTAAATCACTGAGGTTGCTATGACATGTTCCAGGCAATCATTCGGGCGCAGGATGCTGCCTGTCCGCTCAATACTCGGTGTGTATTGGTTATAATGTTAAAAATATGTAATCCAATATGCAGTTAGTACATGATTTCTTGATCACGAGTGACACGATTTGAATGATTACACACAATAATACTACTCACTCACTAAAAAATTAATATGAGGGAATGCACAACTAAATTCACAATTTAAAGCAATTATAAATTATTTGAACCAAGACAACTCCTTGATGCAGAATCAATTACGTGCCATAAGACAGATCATTTGGTATGGGAAGAAGGTCCAGCCTGGGCAAAAGCTACACGGACTTATTGTAGAAATGACACTAGCATCTTGAACACACTTATAATAACCGGAATGCTTTGGTCCCAAGAGAAATCTTCAGGAGTCAGTCAAGAGGCTAAGTGACTGACCGCATGTGGACACAAGCGTACAGCAACACCAATTGAATACAGGCATGGAGACAGAGGGTGTACACTCGATCGAAGAGGTAAACTCTCGGTAGAAACAGAGTTGCTCAAGAATTCTGACTTTTGAGTGATCCATCTGGATATAAAGATCACACCCACACTCACACTGGGGGATCTCGGAAATGCCGCTTTGCATGTAACTTTTTTGTTTGTACAGCTTGTCAATAGACCGTAATAACCTCGTGCCGTCTCCGTATCAAACCACATTGGTCTAGCGATGTGCACAAAGGTGTTTGCAAGTAAGCATTTAATGCGATCTTGTAGAAACCTCAATCTAGAACGACATCCCTTTTTTTATCAGCCACCAAAGAGCATGCTGCAGAGTGTTTACATGAGTTGCAGCAATTAGGTATTTATAATGCGAGGTTTAGTAATACAAAGAGAGATAATGTCTGGCGTACAGTGTGATGTCAGGGGGATGATCGTCATCTCACTTCGAGTCAGGATGTTGAAGCATGTCCAGCTGCTGACTGACTGGTCTTCTTGTTGTGACTTGATACTTCATACAAAACTTCACACTTCTTAATTTGGAAATTTCACAATTCTACAGCCATGCAAAGTCAAAACCCCCTGTTTTTTTGCCAATTTACTATGTGTTACCCGAAGGTGTCCCAATATATGGCACATGACCAGATGCAAAAACAGGTATCCTGCAAGACAAATCCAAACAGCTGCCTCGTTAGGAAAGGTTATCATGTAAATGTTTAGTTCTGGTGAGGTGTACAAATAAAATGGCACCATTGAAGTTTTGCCACCGTGGGTGGTACCGATATCTGGTCTGGCCCATGGACTAGATGTGCTGCCATGGAAAAGCCGATTGCCGATAACCGTGTTGCCGATTGTGTCGTTTATAGTTCGACGGTACAGACTAAATAATATCAGAAGTGTCATATTATAGATATGACACTCCCATATTATGTCACATCATATTATAGATATGACACTCACATACATTACTGTCACCACGGTCATTAAAAAAAAACGGTTTCAAAGGATGATTTACAAGTGGTGTATTTAATTTCATGGACAGTGGGAAGCCATATTAACAATTTTTCATGGGGGTAATTTTAAATTTTTTTTAATATTAAACATTACACACATTTTTGCTGCCACGGTATAACTTAAGCTATTATTTCACGATAGTAGGAATATATTCTCAGTGTGTAATTACATATTTCGTGTGGAGCGGGTAGAGAGACAGATCACTCCTTTGTATCACTATAATGTTGTAGTTTTGTTAGGCTTCATTCTATGACTACACACTATCTATGCATAATGCACTAAGCTTAGTAGGAATCTGATGGAAAGCGTACATCGTGCGTATATATCCGGTAGCGACTTCCTGAGCGTGCGGTATAGTTAGCATTTATCACAGCATGAAATTGGAGAATCAGAGATTGACATAGCATTTATAGAGTGTATATTATACTATACATATATATATGGAAATAAATTCAAACAGTTCAATTCAGTTTTTGGGCGCACAAATTTCTTCAACACGGCTTTCTGACGTATGCGGTTCACCTTTGAAATTAATCGAAAAGACGTGGCGGGGGTAAATCACGAAACGATGTTTGTTCGGCTGTAGAAGCTGGGTGTACTAAAGGTTCAATGCGGAATCAAGAGCGAATGTAAAAGTAAGAAGTGAGCCGCCGAGCACCACATTCCCGCTCGCTTCAACTTAAGTATACGGGAGGCACAATGCCACGAATTGTCGGTCCCCAGCATGTAATCTGAGAGACCTTAGAGCCGTCCGAGTCCTTAGCGCTGTATATAGTAGTTGCTGTGATATTCTCATGTGCGATGATATATTTATGCTTATTCTATGTTTAAGTTAATAAACAGCCATTTCAACTTCCAGTGACCGACAAATTGATAGGTTTACACAGGTACAACAGCCTGTCCGCAGAGGGCGGTCACTACTTTCTGCACGACAGGCGCCAATTTCGATTCTAATGTATTATTGTATCTGGTTAACTTGCTCGAGGGCCCAAAGCTTTACCTCACTGTCCGGAATAGCTCGAATGCACGGAAAATATTCACGCGCCTGAATACCCCATAGGCCATAGGATAAAAGCGAGTTGTTAACGAACCAGCTGTCATCTTTTATTATAGGTACTATCCGTAAATTTATTGCATAAGACCTCACGCTCACTTTCGATACTGATTTGTTGATCTGTACTTAGTAGATCATAGAAAATATCTGCGTGAGCTGCAAAAACAGCTGGTTGAGCGCGGAGGCGCGCAACTTTTCTCATTTTCGGGCTATTTGCACAAAGTGAGTATCAAGAAAAATGTACCCCTGGCACAAGCGTACATCGTCAGTTGACCGCTGTTCGGCGTCTCTGGCACGCAACTTTTTGGGATTTGATGAGACAGGTTTTGTGTTGTAGAGTGATGCTCCGTAGTCGTATGGTTCTGTCAATAACACTATGTCAGATGACTTAATGCATCTCAGCCCGTTGAAGTCTCGGGCACAACTTTCTAATATCATTTTTTTTGTGGTTCGCTTGTAGAAAACCGTGTAAGGAAACTTACCTTGGAATCGACTAACCGCAGCACAGACGGCAGCTTATCTAGTCGCTGTTTTGCTAAAAACCGGGCAAAATTTTTTTATAGAGCTGCCGAAATTTGCAGCACAGGTGGTCTTGGTTGGAAAGAATTGGCGGCGCCAAGTCCACGATAGCTTCTCGTGACTCTACCGGAGGGGCAGTCCCAGCTCTCACTCGTTGTTTTCCCAGTTTAAAACCCACACAGCTGAATAACAGCGGTGATTAATTCACACTTAGGACAATTTATATTTACACGTGACTATTTAGATGGTGGAATAACATCGTGTGTTTATAGCAAGAGGTATGGGTTCGATTCTTAAAGATATAAAGCTTCGGGTGGTTATTTATCACAGCTGGGCCCATACAAGACCCTAAGATGAATACGCAATAATAAGGCCCTTTGCAGAATGCTGAGAAACGGAAGATGCTAGAAAGGTAAGAATTGCGATGAGAACTGGCGGAGCGCAGGTGTGGAATGCCTTGCGACCCAAATGTAAGACATGAAATTTCTCTACGGAAAACCAGGTGACCAGGTACGTATGCATAACACGGTACGCACATCGTCACCAACGCAACATACGATAGAGATTATTCCACAGCACGCAACACACATAACAACTGAAGTAGTTTTTGATTCTTGGCAATGTAATAAATCACAATGTAAAATCCTTTGATGAAGCCATCATGTAAAAAAGGTGAATCATAAGTAGCACTGTCCCTTGTTGAAGCTTTATAATTCCTCTCCAATATGTTACTTGGATAAGAAGAGCCATAGCAAGATATTCACACACAGTGTGTTCTCGTCTGGCATTCCGATAAGTTCTATTACTAATGAAACTAAGTATGTTTCAAGTTACATGTTATTATAATCAATCTACAGCCTGTTAATATCACATAATGTTCATGGAGGGCTCCTGATCCCATTAAATTTAAATTTAAGAGCTAGGTTGGATGCTCGAAATGCGACTCAGTTATGTCTCACATTGCTATCCGCATTGAACGTAATACTGCTAATGTGTTCTCATGTACTCATACTCTGTTGTCTCATGTAACTCATACTGCTGTGTCTCATGTACTCATCACTCATGTTGATCTCATGGTACTCATGACTCTGTTGTCATCATGTACTCATACTCTGTTGTCCTCCATGTACTCATATACTCTGTTGTCTCATGTACTCGTATACTCTGTTGTCTCATGTACTCATACTCTGTTGTCTCATGTACTCGTATACTCTGTTGTCTCATGTACTCATACCTTTGTCCCTCATGTACCAAATACTTCTGGCTGTCTCATAGTACCGTATACTCTGTGTCTCATGTACTCATATACCGTTTGTCTCATGTACATCATAACTCTGTCCTGTTCTCATGGTACTATATACTCTGTTGTCTCATGTACTTCATATAACTTCTTTGTCTCATGTACTCACA